TTACTTGGTGATACCGAAGGTCTGGCTGGTTATTGGCTAGAACTAAACTCTGGGAGGTGTCCAGGACCTCTCTGGTCCAGAACTTCTTCCCAGGTCCAGGTCCAGGACTTCTCTGGATCACCTGAGCAGGTTGATGTGATCTGATTTCCACATCTAGATTTATTTTCTGGTGTGCAACTGAAATGTTTTATTTTAGATTCTGTGTCATCCCTTTAAAACTCACGCCTCCTTAGGCCGCGCCCACTCTAAGGCCCAGCTTAACCTCACTGGTTATCAAAGGTATTCAGTTCACTTTAGGCTCCAGTAACTCTTCTAACTGATGCAATGAACGGATGGATGTTGCATTTTAAAAGAGAGAAGCCATTCACAACCAGTCACCTGAAAGCCAGAACAGAAGATTCGCAATAACAAATCCTCAAAACTGAAGGAAACAGAGTCTCAGTAACTTTATTTTTAACCACTTTTTTAAGTCGTGGATCTCCTGAAGCCTTAAATGAGATCTTTAATTCTGCCTGATGTTTGACAAAAGCAGACGCAGCATCCGGAAATAAACCGGCTGCAGCGATATGACCATCATCAGCAGCGTGTTATGGGAGCTCTGAAGGAAACGTTTGTTCTGAGGATAAATCCTGAAACATTTAGGTGGAACCTGTTCAGAGAGGTTCTGTCAGCTCTGAGCAGCTTGTTAAAGAACCACATGGATGTTTCTGTCCTTCAGACCTCAGGTTGTGATGGTTATTCAGGAGAGCAGAGTTAATATTAAACAGGTGAAGAACCAGGGAGTATAAGCAGGGGTAACTGTGGGAAGATGGCCCTATTGAAATGAGGAGATGTGTCTTAATAAAACATTTGTCCCTCAGGGGCCCCACTAGGAAAAGAGCCTGTCATTCTGTTCTAAAATCATAGTATTCTTCCTTATTGGTTGATTCAGAAGCTCTGAGGTCTGGTGGTTGGAGCTTCACCCAAAAGCTGACCATAGATGTTCCCTTGACTCAGAGAGCAGAGTCGATGTTTTATGTTCCAGAGTAAAAACTGGTTCATCATTTCTGTCTGACAAGATTTGGTTTGCTGTTAGCATCTCCATTAGCATCCGTATTAGTGGAAGTGTCCGAATCCTGGGGCTACGTTCTTCCAAGATCACATTTTAAGGCTGATTACGTCACAGCGAAGCAACAAGACTGTCTGAGTTTGAAGGATACTCATTATGTATGCTGTTGTATGATTGTCGGGTTAGGGTTAGAACATAACACACACGCTTGCAATATAAAGAAGGACAACACCTGTCCCCCTCCAGCTCGGCTGTGTGACTGCACTAACCTGTCCTGTGGGACCCTCACCGTGTGACCCTCATGTCCATGCTGTCTCTGGAGGAGCAGATAGGAGACAAGATCTCCTGAAACTTAAAATGAACCAAAGCTTCCTCCCAGTTTCTCTGTAAGCTGAATTTAACATCAGTTTATCTTCATGAAACAAAAGAATGAAGTGGAACTAGCATCTACTGTATCTTCTACTTCTCTCTCCTTTTAACTTCTCCGTGTCCGTAAATAAAGGAGACAGGTCACGCTGCAGCCGCCGTCACTGACCCCGCTCCCTCCCCAAGACCGGATCACCTGGCATCACAACACTCGGTCTGACTGAGCGCTTCCAGGAGAAACAACAACGAAATTATTAAAATAATAATGCGTGTTTGGAGGAGCGTCCTCTGATTCTCTCTCTCTCTCTCTCTCTCTCTCTCTCTCTCTCTCTCTCTCTCTCTCTCTCTCTCTCTCTCTCTCTCTCTCTCTCGCTGATCGAGCGAGTGGAGCATGCCGCGCGACAACCCGCTCAATTAACTTAATTCACAGCCCAAATCCAGCAGGTCGGGCTGATTCGGTTCGGTCTCAGGTTACAACTCCAGCGCTCAGCCCTGCAGTACCGCATAAAGGCGGACCAAAGTTTCCTACCGGTAAATGTGGAGAACACCGCTCTGACAGATCTGGATGCTACTGCCGACGTTAAAATAAAAGTACATTCCACTATAATTGATTATGGTGCTCTTCTAAGATGCAGAATCGTTTATGCCCGCATCTCGATGAATTGATTATTTGATTATTTTCCTCAGCTCTATCCTCCACCTTCCGGTCGGCCGTCGGGGGTGGGGGGGTGGGGTGCGCGGGGTTCAGGGGCCACAAAGAGAGGACTCGCGGGCCACGTCTGGCCCGCAGACCGCCTATTGAGTACTGCTGCTCTAGAGCTTACTGCCAGCAATCGTTTCTGGGATCCGAGTGTGACAAAAAGCCAGGGTCTGATCAGAATGTTTAACATCTCCACCATAGTTCTGATGTGCTGGGTTTTTGTGTGACATACAGACCACCTTGTGTCAGGTGAGGACCAGGAGTGCCGTAGGTAAATGGCCTGTGTTTGATATAGCACCTTCTAGAGTCCTGGATCCCCCCAAGGAGCTTTACAACACAATCACTCATTCACACCCTGGTGGTGATGAGCTGCACTAGCCACAGCTGCCCTGGGGCGCACTGACAGAGGCGAGCCTGCCATAGGCACCACGGGTCCCTCCAATCAGTCTCTTGCCCAAGGACACAACGACAGCAACAGACTGAGCGGGTCTCAAACCTGCAACCTTCTGATTACAGGGTGAGCACTTAACTCCTATGCCGCTGTTGCCCCTTTCCCCCACTCAGTTGAGGCATGCCTCATTTTGACTTGGAAAAGCAAACCGCAATGAGCTGAGTCAAGTTCAGCCGAGACGAGCAGTGATCAGCGAGGAAAAGAGCCATTAGAGAGTCTGTCAGACTGAAAGAGGCCCTGTTCGTGATGGTGTACGATTCGTTGTCTCTTCTTTACGTTGGGTGGCTCTCGGTGGTGTTGTGTGATCGTCAGTTGGAGGTGGTTCTGTCTGAGGGTCTGTTGGTGGTGTCTGTGTTTCTGACAGCCAATCATCAGTAGGCAGATCCAAATAAAGACAGACAGACTCCTCAGCTGCCAGTTTGACCACAGGCCTCTGAAATTGATTCATAAATTAATGTGTTCTTGCAGCTTCTGGAGGCTGTGGGGAATTTACACAAAGCTCTAATAGAAATGAATGAGGCATCAGCGAGCACGGGCCGTTATCCATCATCGGCTCTGACACCAGAGCAGGAGGAGGCCTTCAGCCTCGTTACACTGTCACAAGTGTGATAATAAGGCAGAGCTGCTGATGGGAGAGAGGGAGGAGGACTGGTGGAGGTCAGAGCTGAAGAAGAGTCTCCTTCGTGTCAGTCGTCCCGCTGAGGAGCATTCTGCTCCAACAGAAGGATCGGTGGAATTAGCTTCTGGGTTTGGGTCTTTGCTATAAGGTGCTGTCCAAACATTTGGCCCAGTTTTGTTTTTGACAGGCTTCATCAGTCTATTACCATTCTACTTGACTGTATGTTTTGATTTGAAAGTGGAACTTCTTTGTCTAACACACACCGTGTGTTCAGACCCCGTAGCTTACATACAAGCTTCACTGGTCACATCTAGTTTCTGTGGGTATATTCAAACTCTGGAGAAGACATACCGGCTCCACATGTCAGTCACGGAAGCTCTACATTTAACAGATTTCTGAAGGTCACGTAAAGAGCCTGGTGGTCTCATAGCCTTCACAGGTCACATTCTGCCTTTATGGGTCACATACGGGTCACATATGGTCTCTACAGTTCACCGTCAGGTTCTACAAGTCACATCCACATCTGTTTCTTTTAACCATCTCTTAAAAGCCCATCTAGGGGTTGGTTTGACAGTGTACGCGTTTTCACATCTGCCTCTATGAAATAACTGAAAATGCAGGCTCTAGAGGTCACTGCAGCGCTAATGGTCACACATATGCTTTACGGGTCACTTACAGCCTGAACACTTCATGCACAGGATACTTCTAAACTTAACAAGTCACTTACAGGCACTGCAGGTCACTTACAGACTCCAGGTTTGACGTAAAATCTTTTAAACTGTTGAAACCATCGGAGCCAACTGTAAATCAGCCTCACATTGTTCACAGTTAAGTGAAGGAGCTGCTGATCTTTTCTGGCCGCCTCCTCGCTGCCTGGATTTCTTACCCTGAGGCGGTTTTCTCTCCTCCTTCACATCCCGGAGAGACTGAGGAGCTACGATGGCAGAAGCAATCACAGGCTGCAGATCAGACGTATCCTCGGCTGAATGTCAGACAGAGTGAAATCATTTGTTCCTGTGAGCGCTCGGTGCCCCCCCCCCAAACCCCTTTCTGCTCTCAGCTGGTTTGTTTTATGTGGTTTCAGCAGCTCCGTCCTCTGGGCCGCTCTGTCAGAGTTAATATTGAACTACAGTGAGTCTGACGGACTGTGGAGCCTTTTCTCGTCCAGTTAGAGTCCCGTTTCATCAGCTGACGGGGGGAAACCTGCATGGGGCCGGACCTGGTTCTGCAGCAGAAGTGGGACGAGGTCAAGGGAAGTAGTTTTAGACTGACTCGGAGGAAAGTGCTCTGTTGGCACGATACAGCAGCGTGGCTTCAAACGGCGAAATTTAGCTGTTAAATCATTGAAGCCATCAACAGTCTCTCTGCAGGAGACCAGGAGGAGACACACCAAGGGAGACTCTTTACTCCAGCATGTAAACCAGCACCGGTTGGTTAGAGCTCCATTAGACGTTCTATGGTTTATACATCAGATTGTTCCAGACCACGATGGGTTTGGTTTTGTCTGCAACAAAGAGCTGGGATCTGTTTTCAGACCTCATCAGCAGATCGAACATCACGTTGCATCATTTAAAACGTGTCCTCAGCAGGGTCTCAGGGAGCTGGTGCTGATCCCAGACACTGGCTGTGAGACAGGGTGGACCCCATGGACAGGTCACCAGTCCATCAAGTTTCAAGGTGCTTTAGTTGCCATTTTTGCTAGAAAATGTGATTTTCAGAAAATTATGAGCTAGTTTGGCTGAAGGTCTCATGGCCAATAACGAAGTCTAAAAGATCAATAGGACCAAATAACCTAAAACAGATGAATTATAAAATGATAAAAAGACACACACACACACACACACACACACACACACACACACACACACACACACACACACACACACACACACACACACACACACACACACACACACACACACACACACACACACACCTGTAGAGACAGCAGGACCAGTGGTGTTTCTCTCGTCAGGCTGGATCCACAGCTAAACAACTAGGAAACTATTCCTGCTGTACACTTTTGCAGATTTATGGATTTATCAGAGAGTTATTTTAGTAAACTTAAAATTATTTGTGTGTGAATATTTTGATCTCACTTGATTTGTAATTGTGTTGGAGCAGTAAGTGGATTTGTGAGAGGCGCAACATCAGAAAATAACAGGACAACACAAAGAAAACGGCTTTAAAATATCTGTTCATGTTGATTTCTCACAAATGTACAAAACCTGTCGACACCATTTACGTCTCCTTTAGCCGCAGCAGCTGGGAATAATCTCAGGGACGAGAAGTTCGAGTGGAACTGTGCAGCAGTGGAGTAACGGGAGTAGAGAATCCTAAAGACGCAGACGTCAAATGTTCTTCAGCTGAAACGTTCACAGATGATTGAGAAGATAAACACACCTGTTGGACTCTCACAGTCAGCTGCTCGCTGTAAAACAATCTCCTGTTGGCATCAAACCCACCTGCTAAGGCAACAAAACACAAATATGGCTTCTCAGAATGATGAATGGAAAACACAACTAGAGAAACACAGCGCAATAGTGCAGAGACTTCAGAGTCCGGCTTCCCAACCTCAGAGGAACCAGTTTTCTTTTGGTTAACAGTTCAAGTTTAGGAGCTTGTTCCCTTCAGCCAGAGCCACCAGCAGTGAACTCATGTTCCTGAAGGCAATAATCCCGCTCCCAGTCGGGACTAAAGGCAGTGTCACTAAGTTCCTTAGAGTGGTTGGGTGGGAATAACTCTGGGAGAAACTCTGGGTCAGTCCAGGATTTAGGGTTTCTGGCATTTGGCTGGAATAATCTCCATCATCAAGCAAGCTTTGGAAGTCCATCAGAGTTGGCTTCAGATGGTTTTCACATGAACTGGAGGCTGGTGCACTATTTTCCAATGGAGACACATTGACATTTGAGCCGTAACAATCCAGGTCCCCCCTGGACTCAAAGACTTGAAACTGACCCATGTAGAGCAGAGCATGGTCCTCTGGGCTGCAGGGATGTCCTGAACCACAGTCTGTTTGCTGCATCAGCTCTGGGTCTGAGGGGTTCAAAGATTTAGGTCCTGTTGATGGTCCTGATTGTAGATGGTTCTGATTCTTGGATGGATGGATTTTCTGTAAGATTACATTGCAGTTCTGCTGATCTAGAATCAGTCCTGATACATCACAGATCTCAGTCTTTACCTGCACATGTTTAAGTTCTACAAAGTCCAACAGAGCTGGTTCTTGTGTCCAGGTCTGTATGCTCCTTGTGTCCTCAGCCATATTTCCACAGAGGCCATCAACTGGGTTTCCATTTGCATCAAAGGTACCAGTATCTTCACATGGCCTGTACCAAGGCCCAGCAACTTCACTTAGATTGGAAAACGGTTGGAATAGGTTCAGTCCTTTTTCAGAACTGAGCTGTATAAAGTTCCGTTGGCCTCTGTTGGTTAGGCTTTGGAACATTTCTCTGTTGGGGGTCAGATTAAAAGAACCAAAGGTTGGATTATGTTGGAGGAAAGCCAAGTTCCCTTGCAGCTTGGAGTTCTGTTGAGTGGGATCCAAGAGTCCTAAAGAACATGCGTTCCACTGTCCCCTGGTTGTCCTGGCCAGGGTTTGACCCCTGCCTAAGGGGCGCAGCTTCAGCACCTCAGTACTGCTCTGCCGGACATTAGGAGTGCTTTGAAAATCATTCAGATTGGTTGCATCTTGAGTGGTATTTGTTTCTTTCTCGTTGATGATCGTCGTTGAGATGTCAGCTGTTCTCAGGATGTAAGCAAATTGATCTAGACCATCACCAGATCCCAGGCAGCCTGTCTGGGCTGAGTGTTGGCGATCTGGAGGACAGGGTTGTATGATCACCCCTCTGCTCACAGTCCCCATGCTGTTGTACTGCAGCACATGAGGATGGTTCAGCAAGTCAAAAATTCTCTCTTGGGCACTGGCACGGCGAGGGATGTTGGATGGAACTTCATGGGTCATCTGGCTCCGTGCACACAAGGATTTCTTTGAGTCCTCATAAAGTTCCAAGCAGGACTTCAGATTCATCCGATCCATGTGTGGAAGAGGTGTAGGTGGTGCACCCCCAGTGGCGGCAGCGTATTTTGCTTTTAGATGGTAGTGCTGGGTTATGTTTAGTAGACTGATGTGTACAGGTCCACTACTGTGGACCCGACACTGATTGGTCTGACTTGAACGCCGAGACGTATCAGCAGATATGGGGTCATAGGAGTCGGCAGAGCTGATGCTGCTGAGGAGGTTGGCACCAGCCTTAGAGGTCTGGCTGGAGTGCCGGCTGAGGAAATCAGGGGAGATGCCTGAGGAGCAGCTGCTCAGGGTGTAGACCACACTAAGGGTGCTGGAGGGGCTGTCACGGTGCTCAGAAGTGTCTCCTAGCAGGTTGGTTTTACCAGATCTCAGTTGACCATAAGTAGAGTACAAAGCTGGATCTACACGGACTCCTGAGCACTCCAGGGGGGGCCCTGGTGTTCAAACACAAAGATCAGAAAGGTTTTAGTCATCAATGATTGTTAGCTGGTGGACCACCTAATGAGATATTCATTCCAAAGATATTTACATATTTTTTTTTGTTTGTCACCTACTGTCTGTTTTAGCGCCTTTGTCTTTAAGGCTCCACCTCCTGAAGCAGCAGTTTGCTCTAACTGGTTAAGCTTGGTTTAAGCTTGACGCGTCCGCGAGGTTCGCACGGCTCCGCGCGGCAAATTTGCTTCATTTTAACAACCGCGCCTCCGCACGGCCCAAACTTTCTGCACCGCGCACCTAGGAAAATTTCTAACCACGCAGACGGTCGGACGCGGAAAAACATGGCGGACTGGCAAGAACTAGTATGGCAGAGGTTCGTAAATACAGACATTTGTATGATTCAGCTCTCGGAGATCACCGTGATCAACATGTTGTTAATAATTCATGGAGAGAAATAGCTCGCACTGTCGGAAAAGTCGAGGACGCTGTTAAAAAATGCTGGAATGCCATGTTGTAAACAACAGCAATTTTTACTTCTACTATGGTGTAGTGTTGGATGCATGCTGTAGAGCTCCATGCTGCCCCCTACAGTTTGGGAGAATAGTGGCTCACCGCAGAGACTCTCTCTCTCCGCTCTCTCTATGCAGGGTTGTGTCAGTCAACACTGCGTCGCCTACAGGTTGTGCAGAACAGCGCAGCCAGGTTCCTGACTGGGACCAGGAAACGGGACCACATCAGTCCGGTTCTGACCTCCCTGCACTGGCTTCCGGTTTGCTATCGTTCACACTTCAGACTCCTCGTCTTTGTTTTCAATTTCTTCCAGGGTGGTGCTCCTCCCTATCTGGCCACGCTCCTGAACAGACATTCCCCATCACGCGCTCTGCGCTCCTCTGACCAAGGCCTGCTCGCTGTCCCTCGTTCTAGGTGTCGTACTCGCGGGGACCGGGCTTTCTCAGTCCTAGCACCGTTACTCTGGAACCAGTTGCCACCCTCAGTTAGGCTGTCCCCATCTCTGCCAGTCTTCAAGAGTCGCCTAAAAACCCACCTCCTCCGCTTGGCGTTTCCTGAACGTGTTTGAATTTGGCCCTCTTTTATGTTGATTTTATCTCACAGTTTTCATTGGTTCACTTTTTCCCTTGTTTTACACATTTGTCTTCTACTAGAATGTTTCACCTTTTTGTAATTTGTAATCTGTAATTTGAATTGCTTTTATTTTCTGATTTATTCACTTTCTTTAACTTTGTACTGTACCATGTTCAGTGCCTTGGGCTTCCTGACAGGGTTGCGGAAGGCGCTTTATAAATAAAGCTTTGATTTGATTTGATTTGAGACAAGCTGCATGAACCATAAACGCTGCAAGTTGTGAAGCATGTTCCATCCGTGAGCCGCATCACCAAGCGGAAAGTAAATGTGTCAAGCATAAACCAAGCCTTAGAGTTCATGATGGCTGTTTGGTATTTGTTTAGTGTTTACTAAACTATGCAGACATTCAAAATGATGTGAATCTGATACTTGATCCTGTCGTTGGTTGAAGCCTGTACTAAAACCCATTTGGTTACTCTTGTTTAGGAGACATTCAGTCTCTGTGATTTGAACCTGCAGATCTTCTGCATAAACTAAACACCACCCTGAAAACGAGGAGCTGTTCTCACCGCGTGTTGGTATAGGTGGAAGCATGATGCCGTGGACGGGGGGTGTTGGGTTCTTGGTCCACTGAGACGAGTCCCTCACGCTCCTCAGATTCGTTTTGAGTTGCTCCAGGCACTGGATGTTACTGAACTTTTTTCTGGGATAAAGGCTCACTACTGCAACCCCCCCAGAAGTCTCTTCACAGCCCATGGAATTCGTGTAGGGAAGATGATCCAGGGGCCTGATGTCCCCCTGGCTTCCCCTGCTTTGTGCTGCTGTTTTTACTCCACTGTCATTGTTGGTGCCAAGTGGTGATGGTTCGCTGCTACAAGATGACTGACCGCCAGGACTGGACTGATACATCTGCAGAAAACCAGGGTGGGGGTGGAATGAGAGGATCAAAGATAAACAGAAATCAGTTTGTTCTAAAAACAGTTTTTCTTCAGTAAAACAAAAGTGGATCAGCAGTTAACATGGCACAAATCCCTGGGCCTTTACCCTACCCCAGCTTAATTGTAAATAATGAGTGTTTTTTGGGATGGGGCGAGGTGTGGTGGGATGGAGGAGTGGTGGGATGGAGGAGTGGAGGGCACCACAGATTACAGGCTGCCTTAGTCTGTCTGTGAATTACAAATGGGGAGATGAAAGACTGCACGAGCCTGACCCAGAGAGCCAGGCTGATCACTGCATGCTGAGATGAGGGGGGTTGTGTGTTAGGTGACTAGTTTCAGTTTAACAGTTTGCTTTCCCTCTACCATCTACTTTGTTTTAGAGTCTGATTAATCTGATTGTTTTAGAATAAGGTTTGCTGGTTCAAAACTGAGATGTGTCAAAGAGAGAGTGGAAAACCAGAAGAAATGTGAAAAAATAAAAATAAAAATTGAGGAAAGGAATGACAGACTGTGACTGAAACTGAAACCCAGATTTATTTAGTCAAGTAAATTACAAAAACATTTAATCAATCTCTCGGGAGGAGACGATGAGTCAGATCTGTACGAGTTAGTTCTGTTTTAAAGGGACTTTACGGAGTTTAGAATATTTATGCTCGCGATTGCCCCCTCAGGCCAAAAGCGTAACGGCAGCTTCAATAGAAGGTTCGTGCACGAGGCGCGCATGCTGTACGTGCACACTCCTTAACGAAAATAACAGCTGAGACAGTCCCGTGTGTGTGTGTGTGTGTGTGAGTGGCCCGGAGGACAGAGGACAGGAGAACGCACAACTAATTAATTAAATAATTTGGTTCTGTACCTTTCTCTTCAGCACAGCCGACAAAGGTTTATGATGGGTCAGTCCTCCTGCATGCTCAGATCATTCCCTTCCCTTGCTTGAAAAATTGTTCAACCCACATCTTTTTTATCTGTGAATTCAATGCCGTTTGGCGAGTCTCAAATAAAAATTTGGGCATCTTACTGTAAAAAAATATACCATTAATGTAAAAAATAAACTATGTTCACATCCAGAATCAAACTCAGGTCTTCTGCATGGGAGTCAGACATCTTACAAGGTGAGCTACACTCTAGTAACATTCATAGTGTCTGTAACTTTTATATCCTTGATGACAGCTGAAACAACGTCAAACCAAAGAACGGTTCGAAGCAAAAATGGCTATTTTGTTGCTAATTTACAGGAAATATCTAGAAGAAAGTTCTACAGAAAGTAGCTAAGGGTCATCAGAAATGTAGCTAGGTTCATCACTAGGCGTTAGGAACAGCGACAAAGTGGCACTGCCTCTCTCTCTGCTGCTAAAGCTACGGAGAGCAAATGCTACGGGCTATGCCTGAGCATGAACGCGCATGAAGCAGCCTGCTCGACCCGAGCATCTCTCTTTTTCTGTGATTTTACAGAAAAACGGGCAATCACAGTAAAAATGCCAGGGCTCATTCTACAGGACCAGGGCATTGCAGGAGAATGTATGAAGAAGACATTTATTATTTCTATACATGTTTTGGCTGTCAAACATCCGTAATGCCCCTTTAAGCCTTTAACTCTGAGCCAGTATCTGAGAGCCTTAGGTCGTATAGAAGTGGTCATACCATGGTGGTAATGTGGTGCAATCATGTCCTTTTACAAAAGATTATGGGATGGTGGCACAAAGGGTGTATTGAGATAGTTTTCGTGCTGTCACAGATTTCCTTTTAGCCTGAACATAACTTGCTTTTTATTGCAATCAAACCCGCACTCCGTAAGTCTTTTCCAAGCCACTCCTAAAGGTGTCTGTCCTCCATGTCCCCGTGAACTGTCAGATAATATGAGCTCCAGCTCTAATGGAGAAAAAGCTCCCGGAGCTCTGCATCACTTCAGTTTATCATCTCAGCTGGTCCTGTTAAAAGGGAAACTTATTGACCGTCTTTACATTTATTTTCAATAATCTAGCTGGCCAGAGCTTGGCAGTAACTCCCCGTAATATGCATTCATAAGTCCAGTTTTGTGGTAATATCACTATCAAGCTTGGCAGAATGAATGCCGAAAAATGCCCGCATCACCATGCAGCCACAGTGCATTCATAAGACACACCATGGCAGCAGTATTACACTGATTTATTGGCATTATGTGTCTTCTAAAAGGCCCTTCCCCTTTCAGACCCCCTCTCTTTGAACCAGTTCATTCCACGGTTTAATACCTGGTCATCCAGGTGAGCAGTTGCATCTTTTAGGCTTGCTAGAGGCTACTCAGCAGCTGCTAAGTTTTGTGTATCTGCCTGCATCCCATAATACAACACAAATCTGGCTATAGGAGTGCGTTTGGCTGAAACGTGATTGTTGTGTCGGATCAAGTCCAAACTACAGTGAAGAACATGAGTATTTGGTCACACTTACAAATCATAGAGTGGTCTGTCAATAGACACCAGAGACAAAACTTTAGACCTCCACAAGGCTAGTAAGGGCTACTGGGCCATTGCCAAGTAGATTGGTGAAAATGGATAAACTTTTGGAGCAATTAGAAAATGGAAGAGGATAAAGACCACTGTCAGTCTTCCTCGGACGGGAGCTCCATGCAAAATCTCATCTTGTGGGGTATCACTGACGATAAGAAAGATGAGGAATCAATCCAGAACTACACGGGAGGAGCCGGTCAATGACATGAAGAGAGCTGGAACCACAGCTTCAAAGGTCACTGTTGGTAGAACACTATGACGCCGTGGTATAACATCATGCATTACACAGAAAGTTCCCTGCTCAAGTCAACACCTGTCAAGGCCCGTCTGAAGTTTGCCAATGACCATCTGTATGATCCAGAGGAGGCATGGGAGAAAGTCATGTGGTTAGATGAGACCAAAATAGACCTTTTTGGTCTAAACACCACTTGCTGTGTTTGGAAGAAAAAGAAGGATGAGTTGCATCCAAAGAACACCATCCCTACTGTGAAGCACGGGGGTGGAAGCATCATGCTTTTGGGGTGTTTTCTGCAAAGGGGACAGGACAACTGCATTGTATTCAGGACAGAACGAATGAGGCCATGAATTGTGAAATTTTGAGCAACAACCTCCTTCCCTCAGTCAGATCATCGAAGATGGGTCATGGCTGGATTTTCCAACATGACAACGACCCAAAGCGCACAGCCAGCATAACCAAGGAGTGGCTTTGTAAGAAGTATATCAAGGTTCTGGGGTGGCCTAGCCAGTCTACAGACATAAATCTAATAGAAAATCTTTAGAGGTAGCTGAAACTCTGTGTTGCTCAGCAACAGCCCTGAAACCTGACAGATCTAGTGGAGTGGGCCAAAATCCCTGTTGCAGCGTGCAAACCTGGTCAAGATCTACATGTACATAAAAAGTTTGATCTCTGTAATTGTAAATAAAAGCTTTTATACCAAATAACACAGATGTTCTTGGGTGTTTAAATACGTATGTGCAGCAGTGCAATACAAATGCTTTAAAAATCATTCAGTGTGATTTCCTGATTAATACTGATTAATCATACTGATTAATTCCTTTTTAATACTGTTTTCACAGTGGGAATGCAGCTGCAATGTAAATTTCAGACCCCTCCATGATTTCCTTGTAAAATTGCAAGGTGTTCACTTTAAACAAATCATCTAAGTATGCTTTGCTTTGATTTACATCCTAGTGTCAGTGTTCTGGCCAGACCTGCTGAAAGCAACAACAACCAGAGGTGAACGTACCAGGTCGGATTTAAATGAATTAAACATCCCAAATGTTTGTATGATTGGTAATGAAATGGTAAAGAAACCTGAGCCATGGGTTAAAATGGTGATTGGTACCAGGAAGTCACATTGGAGCTCACCTCAGTAAAGTCTGTCCAGAGTGAATGTCAGAAAGGAGACAAGCAGAAGAAATGTCCATCATGTTGGTCAGGTACCTAACTACTTGTGCACCTGAACATATCAGTAAAACAAGACTAAAGCAACATAAAGGACAATCAGTCTGGTTCAGATTCTCACCACTGTGTTCTCAGTCTTGATGGATTTGACATGAAGGTAGTCCTCCACATATCTAGGGGAGCTGTTCCCTGACATCTTGTCCTCCCTGTGGAGCATCTCCCTCCTACTGGACTTGTTTTCACTGTTCTCCTTTGGTGCTGGTGGTCGGGGGGGCTGGTCACCACGGTGCTTCTTGGTGACATGGGCCTCAGGTCCATGAACCGTCTTCACATGTTTCCTGAGAGAGCTGGGGTCTGTGTAACGCTTGGTGCATCCAGGGATCTTACAAACATATGGCTTCTGTAGAGAGCAATTTTTGACTTATCAGAGCTTCAGTTATTAGAAACAAGTCTTAAGACGTCTGTCAAGAGTTTTCAGGGCTTCTTTTAGCTTTCAGTTAGTTAGGTAGTCAATGTCAGAAATGGCAAGTCCATAACCTTTAGCCTACATGGTGCTGCTGTGGGATTTAGTGTTGGTGTAAATTTAAAAACACAGTAGGTGACAAGACTCTTGATTTATCTAAGCAGGTTTTGGTAGCCACATAGGGGGTGAGGGAGTCCCCTGGAGGGAAGTGATGACCTGGACTGAGGGTGCCCTGGACCGCTGTTCTAGATCTGGATTTTCTATAAAGAACACCACAACAGAGCATCAGGTAGTCTCTAGGTCTCCCTGCCAGGTGATCTTTTAGTGCGACCTGACCTGGACAGTCTAAAGAGGCCCTATATAGGGGTGGTCTATAAATATCAATAGACCTGGACAGTCTTTAAATGTTACCATCCTAGAACTAGACAGTTTATAAATGTCCCTAGAGCTGGGTGTTCTTTAAGTTTTAGTAGACATGACCTGTCTTTAAGTATTCCTAGACTTGTTAAGAGTAACGGACCCGATCTCCGGGCTGCCTATTGACTACCACTGCCATAAACCTGGGTAGTCTTTGAACGTCCCTGGAGCAAGGTGATCTATAAGATTTGCTGGACCCGAGTAGCCTGGCCAGCCTGGGAACTCTCCTACTCGAATGACCCCACCCCCTGTGTATTCCAACTAAGCCAATCAGTGCTAAACAGCATACGTCACACACTACGATGCTCAGTTTCTCATAAACATCAAAGATGTTTTTCTGCATCTCTTTCCTCTATTATGAATGACTTGGACACGTCTTTAAAACCACAAGTAGAATTAAACAGGACGAGTCTGACAGGCCAGGCTAGGACCTGAGTGGTCTACAGGTGTTCTGTGTCGTAACAGAACCTGTTCCACCACCACCGGAATCGAATGAATTCCTAACAGAACTAGAGTTTTGATGGATAATGTCTCAGTCTGTGTAAAGTACCTCATTGGAATGAGTCCGGTTCTGGTGCTTGGCCCGATCTGAGGCATTGGAGAATGCTTTGTTACATCCTTCATGTTCACAGACATATGGTTTCTCCCCAGTGTGAGAGCGCAGGTGGGTTTTCAGGTTCTCCAGGCGAGAGTAGGCCTTCGAGCATCCTTCAAACTGCAGGAAAAAAACATAATCGCTTCTGTTTCTTAGAAGACAAAGTTCCAACGCAATCAACTCAAAAGAACCGGGTTTTAATATTTATAATATGTATTCTTCTTTCTCTGGGGTTAGTCCTGATTTGTGTTTTAGGTCTTTAAAATTCAGAATCATCTGAGTTCATTTGAGAAGAAACACGTTTCAGATCAGATCCTGACTTTTATGCTGTTTAGTTCTAGACCATCAGATTTATTATTAAACATCCAGGTCTGTCCTGGCACAGAACTATTAATTATTCAGTTTTACAGAAAGACAAACATGCTTCATTAGTGGTCTGGTTGTTTTCATTCTGATCCTTTTTCTTCTTCTTCTAGAAGCCAGGAACATGAGCCATGTGTCAGTGCAATGCCCTGCTGTTGTTCCATGTTCATCTTTAAACTTCCTGCTTGGGAAAGTGGAGCTTCTCTGCTGTCCGAGTGACTGAATCACAGCTTTTCTGCAAGGCAGTGGTGCGTTCATGAACCCATCTAACTAATCAGTTGTTGTGGAGCAGCGTTAGTTCTGGAGTCTCGTGTTAACTCCGACGCTTTAGACCGAGGCAGTGTCTGAACCTTTATTGTGTTGAATCCTCCACAAATATGTAAACATATAATCATTAAATAAACATGCAGGTAAAACGTTATAAATCTGTTTGGACAACCTGCTAGAGGCGTCAGGCTTTCCAAATCCTAGAGTTTCCCCGTCTGTTTTCTATCAGAAGCTAATGCAGGAGGTTGGTGTAGGAGACTATTTTCATGTTCAGCCTGCATGAAAAACTCAACTGATTATGATCAGAAATTAGATTTTAAAATTGTTTTTAATGTTCCACACCTTTAAAAACAGAAGTGCTGCCAGCATACGTCTGGACCGGTACCATACCAGTTCTGATCTGTTCTACTGGTTCTGATTTATTTAAAGGTTCTAAAATAAATATCTGTTTCTTTAAAACATAATGACCTCCCTGCTGCTTTAGGTGTGTGTGTGTGTGTGTGTGTGTGTGTGTGTGTGTGTGTGTGTGTGTGTGTGTGTGTGTGTGTGCTCCTGTTTGTGTCCCTCTGTCTGTGTGTGTGTGTGTGTGTGTGTGTGTGTGTGTGTGTGTGTGTGCTCCTGTTTGTGTCCCTCTGTCTGTGTGTGTGTGTGTGTGTGTGTGTGTGTGTGTGTGTGTGTGTGTGTGCTGCTGTTTGTGTCCCTCTGTCTGTGTGTGTGTGTGTGTGTGTGTGTGTGTGTGTGTGTGTGTGTGCTCCTGTTTGTTTCCCTCTGTCTGTGTGTGTGTGTGTGTGTGTGTGTGTGTGTGTGTGTGTGTGTGTGTGTGTGTGTGTGTGTGTGTGTGCTCCTGTTTGTGTCCCTCTGTCTGTGTGTGTGTGTGTGTGTGTGTGTGTGTGTGTGCTGCTGTTTGTGTCCCTCTGTCTGTGTGTGTGTGTGTGTGTGTGTGTGTGTGTGTGTGTGTGTGCTCCTGTTTGTGTCCCTCTGTCTGTGTGTGTGTGTGTGTGTGTGTGTGTGTGTGTGTGTGTGTGTGTGCTGCTGTTTGTGTCCCTCTGTCTGTCTGTCTGTGTGTGTGTGTGTGTGTGTGTGTGTGTGTGCTCCATTAGTTTCCAGTGTTTAGAGAGAGACTGTGGCCCTCCAGGGGCTCGTTGAGGAACCTGTTAGGGACCCGTTAGACCCATGGGGCCCTCAGGGGTGGCCAGGCCATCCGTTACCCACCGTGCACTTGTGTGGCTTCTCCCCCGTGTGTCGGCGCATGTGAACCACCAGCATGTACTGAGCCTTGAAGGGCTTCTGCTCCCGTGAGCAGTCCTCCCAGCGGCACACAAACTCCTTCTTCTCTCCGTGGATGTGGTCATTATTGATGTGCTGCAGGACACAAGAAGAAAAGATGAGCAGGTTCTCGAGGCCCAGGTGGGTTTTTACTGGTCTGTCTTATTAGATGAGAAAGGCAGCAGTAATAGAAACATATTTTCAGAATAAAAGTCTTCAACTTCCAAAAAAAAAGAAAGAAACCTGCTAAAACAAACAAGTCTTTGTAAATAAATTGGATCTTTTTGAATACCATACATTCCTCCTCAGTTTGTTTCAGATTTCTGATAAAAACTTCATCAAAATCCAGTTTAAATAATTAATTATTTCTGCAGTGATCTGATTAAAATATCTTTTTAAATATCAAAAAACTTTCTTGTTTTACTTAATAAAGTCTAACACACATTAGCCTGATCATACATTCTGTCACCGTCACAGAGGAAATGGGCGGGGCCTTTATAGGACAAAAGTGCAGGGGTCTCATTTATCAAACATTGCGTAGAATCCTGACTAAAACCGTACTTAAGCTCAGCAAAAAAAAAAAAAAGTACTTGCGCCAAGTAGGTTTGTGAACTATCAAACATGGAGTACACACAGCTGCACACAATCTCCGCTTCATAAATCAGAAACTATCTAGAAAGTTTCTCAGCTGCATTTTAGTCACATCCCGCCCTCACCACGCCCACTCACTGCCATAAATAGTCAATGCAAAGTGCCTTGTGGACCTCATGCATATACATAAGCCGGCTGTTGCAGCGCTCCACCAATGACATGGCGACCGCAGATCAAGGCAGATCAAGGAAGCGCTATTTCACAGAAGCAGAAATGGAGGTACTTGTGGGTGAGGTGGAGAAAAGAAAGGAAGTGCTTTTGCAAAACAAATAAGAGAAAATTCACGGAGTGTCACAGTGTTGCTGAAGCCGTCAATGCTGAGTTCTTCGGAGAGATCTGTGGCGGATATAAAAAAAAAAGGTCCAATCGGGATTCAATCCCCAGACTCCCGGTTGAAAGTCACACACGCTAACCAGTCAGCCAAATGGAGATCTCCCTTGTCCAAGTAGCCAGGGCACATGATCAATCGGGTCACAGTGACAGGACACACACACACGGTCACAGACGCATGACATTCTGTCTCAATCCATCCCCCTGCTGATATTCTGCATTTCGTATTCTGCGCTTCAGGCTGTGTGTGCGTGTGCATGTGTGTGTGTGTGTGCATGTGTGTGTGTGTGTGTGTGGGGTCTTGTTCTGTGTGAAAACGAAGCAGTACAAGTGATAATGCTGCAGTATTTCATAATTGTATCTTCTCAGCAGCAGCACTGCAGGTGCTCTCCATGTCCAACATGTGTGTAAGCCAGGTCCTTAGTCAACTTAAAGTTGTGCATATTTTTCCGCTACATTTCTTTTATTAATCCCAAAATCTGTGTAGAAAGTCGCTTACGCAGTTTTCTGACCCCGTTTTGTGTGTAAGCAAGCCTGATAAATGAGGCCCCAGATGATGTGCTGCAACAGAAAGCATCTATTTTTCCTCAGCCTAAATTAACATCACTCATACAATCTTTTTATGATAATATCATTGAATAAAACATCATATAATAGTATTATTGTATAATAATATTGAATAACAATTATAGTAACAGGCATAAATCTTTCTTCCTCTTCTATATCTGGTGAAGTTCAGTTCCTTGCATATATTTATTTAAATATACACATTTACGTTTCTTTGTTGTACTATTTCTTCATTATAGTTGCATAAAATGACCCCACATTCAATTCAAAAACATTTTATTAATCCCAGAGGGAAATTGATTAGAACACAGAAATACTTAAATAATGCTTTAGTTTAGTTCTAGTGTGGAATGATGGGTTGTATTTAATTTCTTATTTGGGTTCCTGAAGGACCTGCAAATTCTCCCCCTAGAGGCCAAACATCAATATGACTGTCAGATAAAAACATTTTACTGCTCTAGAAAACTGACACAAGCCAGTGATGTACCACAGAAATTGTTTGGGAGCTAAACCTTAACCTTGAGGCACTCCATGGGTGATATCAGTGCTGACTTGTTGTCATTTTCTGCAACTGGTTTTTGTTCAGATGACTGTTGATCCAATTAAAAATGGCATCTTTAATTCCATAACTTGGGGGTTTTATTTGTTAATAATATAATATAATAGAATAGAATAGAATAGAATAGAATAGAATCATCATAATAATAAACAGCAAAACCTGAGAATAATAATTGTAAAACTGTGTGTTTTAGATCCATTGGCCGGTTATAGTGCTAATTCATGTTCAAGAGGTGTTGCTTCCAGCTGTAATCCTGGAAGTAGGAAGGGGGGCTTAAGGTGCAAAACATTTTCCCTCTGGGGAAGGTGAGGAATGTGTCTGAAGCTGAGTGTTCTGAAGCTTAAGATCTGAGTGAAAAGCAGGCTCAGGACTCACATGGACCAGCTGGTCCTGGGTCTGGTACTCCCTCCTGCAGCCCTCCCAGTGACAATTGGTCTCGTAGACCATCTCCGGTTCTTGCACACACTTGTCATGGTCCCCATCCTCCTTCAGATCCAGCAGGCTGCTGTGATGGTTCTGTAAGGGGTTGGGTTCAGATAATTAAACCCTGGTATCACAAATCGGCAGAGTTACCATGGAAACGATATAAAGCCTGAAACCGCTGTTTGGTTTAGGTGCAAATTAGAGGTCAAAGTTGACAGTGAAGCTGAAGAATCAGCAGTCTCTGTCACCTGAACTGATATCAAGTTTCTGTAAATAAAATACATTTTATTTACTAAAACAGAAACATTTAAATGCTTGTTGAACTAAAAATCATACAGAATCATTCTCTATTTAAAGAGCAAGTCACCCCCCAAATCAACTTTTTTCTTCTGATAAACTATATAAATGTGTGTCCAATAATGCTACAGACACGTGTAGTAAATAGTTTAGCACTTTATTGCATTTTAGTTAAAATTTAAATAATCTGCCTAAAACTGTCAGTGTTGTGCCATTGTCGAGTAAAAACTCTGCACTGCATTTGAATTTAAATCCGCCATCGCTATTGGCTAAGAGGTGCCCTAGGACGTTAGCTGGTACCATATGATGTCACAATGTCATTGAGAGCCTGTGTGTGTGTGTATTTGTTAGTGGCTCCGCCCTCTCAGTCTGCCAGGCAACAGCATTTGTTGCATTTTTCAAACAGGAAGTGGGAGCGGAGTAATACTCTGGTAATACTGGACTGTTCAATCTCCAAAAACGATGATTTGCCGTTACTGTTTTTACTCTAAATAAAGGTTCTAACGAGTATGCTGATTCTGTTCGTGTCTGTTTGAAAACGTTCACAGAATTCCCTAAATCACCATTTTTATTTAAATTGCAAGTTTAAATAGTGTTCAAACTCGTGTTTTTACACTTTAGAACAATATCACTAAAAAGTTTTTTTATAAAATCCACTCATTTATTGTTTCACAGCTTGAACAGATCCTAACATAAAAAAGTTGATGGTGTAAACATTCTTATTAAAAATGTCTTTTAAATTTGATCAAATAGAAGAAATATTTCATATAAATATTCTAACATTTCTAAAGAGAGAATCGCTTTCCTCATCTTCCTTAAAACATGTTCACACAAAGACTGGAGACATGGGAGTCCCACTCGGGCTGCCGTACGCTGCTCCTGCACAAAGACACACCGCCTTGCTCAGACACAACGCGCTGACGGCAGCATGTTTGTACCTGCCCCACACACACTCCGCACACACTCTCTTCATCAATTGTAGAGCCCCCAGACGCCGGCACTCGGCGCCGTCTCCATGTATCATGCCCAAAGCTGCCTCGCTATCGGAGAGCAGCCGCAAATTTGTCAAAAGAAGAAGAAAAAGCCTCCTCACATGACAATAAAGCTCGGCCAATATTTCATTAAAATGAAGTGCCGTGGCACAGTTTACAGTGGCCGGGGGGGCCGGGGGGTACAGATGCAAAGCTCTTATCATGTGGAGTTTTCTTTTATCCAGGAGGAGATTTACAAGCAGGTCAGAGAGGCTCAGATCCCAGGGGCCGGAATGCCGTGGATTAGGATTGGGATCAGAGCAACACTTAATAGGTCCTCTATCTAGTCCTCAACCTGGTCTGCCGGACCTCCATCTGGTCCTCGATCTGGCCTTGGATTTGGTCCTCAATCTGGACCTCGATTTGGTTCTTCATCTGGTCCTCAACCTGCTACTGCTTCTGGTCCTTTGCTTCCCGTATATCACCGATAAACATTTATTATCTGCTTAAGGCTGATTTAACGTGCCGTAAATGTTCCCCGTCGTACCGGTGAGAGGGAAGATGCCGACCTCAATCCCTCGCCCTCTGCTTTCACCTTTGGCCTCTTGTTGGTGAAGGGGTCCACTGAGCTGCTGACTGCTGAGTCATCTTTGAGGTTCTGGAACAGAAAACAAGATGGTTCAGGGGTTTGCCGTATCATATCACTCAGGATAATCCCGGTAAAACTTTCTTGCCCGAGCAAAAAAGAAATACCATCATAAGCTAATTAGATGATGTCCGTTAAGTCCATTACGCTCACAGGGGTCAAGCGGCGTGGAATTATTAAAGTTATGAAGGTAAACATGGCCGGAATTTCAGAGCGTTGGGTAAAATCGCTGATTGGGGGGGGGGGGGGGGGGGGGGGGGGGGGGTCATCTCTCCACACAAACTGAAAAAGTTTACATTAGAAAAGAAGTAAATACATTTCACAATGCCCTAGTGTAACTGCCCAAGATGCAGAGGTGTGGTCTCGAGTCACATGACTTGGACTCGAGTCGTTATTTTAATGACTTCTGACTTGACTTGATAAAATCTATAAAGACTTACGACTTGACTCGGACTTGAATCGACTTGCATCTGTTGACTTGATGATGTCTTGAGCATATTTGATATTTTAGCACAAAAGTGGCACGACATGGACAAAAATCATGAATCATTCTTGGTTCTGGGTTTGATTTACGGCTAAATGCAGCAGCACTTTGTTTATAATCAGCTTCAGTTGCACTTTCTGTTTGTTTGAGCAAATAAATGAAGCTTTAAGAAGCTTTATTTCTGGAATTTGTTTATTATCATTGTCATCAAATTGAAGTTGGACACATGACTTGATTATGACCTGAAAATTCAAAGTTAAGGGCTTGGACTTGACTTGCACTTCCACATCATTGACTTTGGACTTGACTTGGACTTGATTGTCTTTGACTTGGGCTGGACTTGAGACTTTTACTGGAAATACTTGTGACTAACTTGTGACTTGCAAAGCAGTGACTTGGTCACACCTTTGCCAAGATGTAATGAGAGTTTTTCGTACTTTGTGATATCTTCAGATTTAAATATTTTGATACAAATTTTCATCCATATGGCCCACTCCTACTGGGGGGGAGGGGGGGGGGGATCATGGGTTGGCAGCGTGTGTCTCACGCTCAGGATGGCCAATCCACCCCTGGTTGTTGGAAAAAACCCTTCCTCCAGTTGGATAACGTTGCATGTTGGATCGCCCTGCCCTCCCATTGATAAAGAGCTCTGATTGGTCAAATGTGATCAAGCTTTGCTCACCTTTATGTCTCAATCTGCTCTGCTGAAAGTTTAAATGATGCATATTGTTAGATAACGGGCGGATGTAGGGTTCCTGAACATTTTAATAATATATTTAGATAACACATATTTAGAGATTATCTCTGTGCCTCAGATTAATTTTCCATTTTTTACGGTGTTAAGAAATACAGTCGGATAAAATGATTAAATAAACCTATCATCGGAACAAAGAGAAGATATTAAATCATAAAATGTGTTTTTAAAACTGAAATCATTCTGACATCAGTCCCTGATCTGCACCTTTAAATGTTTTTGTCTTTGTAAATTGGTCTCTTTCTAACATTGTGTGGATAAATCTTTGTTCTTGTTTGTTATTTATTTCTGGTGGTTGTGGTAAAGCTGGTGCTGTCATCCGTGGTTGTGCTGCCGTGCCCCGGCTGACCTCTCGTGCATTAAACTCAGGCTGAATCATAGATTACTCCATGAAAACCAACTGCGTGCGGTGTAGAGAAATGAAGGGCCTCCCCCACTGAGAGTTTACCTCCAAGGTGGGGAGAGGAGGGTACTGCCTCGTGTGCCACAAATCATACCACTGAGAGCCGGTCAGGGGGCAACTGCACCAATATCAAAATCTACTGCGAGAACAAAGAGATGGAAACTAGAGCTGAATATTCCACAGTTGGATAAACAGCTGTGTTAGGGGCTGGAAATGTTACGCATGTGGGGGGGGGGGGGCTTTCCTTAGACTAAATCAGAGAGGATCCATTGAAACATCAGCTTAAAGACCACAAAAGACCAGAGATTGTTCACAATCTTATCAGGATTAAACTTTTCTTATGAGTTCAGTGTTTTGACATCACCTTAGACATCGGGTCTTTGTTGAGGTGGGAACTGGTCACTGAGGGCAGGCTGAGGCCTGCCTGGTGTTCAGAGAAGGTAGGTGGAGTCTGGATTAGGGCTGGGTTGTGACCAAAGGCGCTAAGACTTCTCTGATGAGAAAGAAGCTGCTGGTAGGCCATGGAGTTGACAGGATGATGGAAAGGAAAGGGTGGGCTGTAGGATGTAAATCAAATATATCAGTCCATTCCCTGTATCGGAGCGAATCATTAGAAAGATACCATATGTACCAATGATGGTACAGTCCACACCAAAGAATGTTTGTGTCAGGACAACGATAGTTATCACAACGATTGTACAGTCAGCAGCAAGGATGGTACCGTTAACCCAACAATGTCACGGTCAGCACCAATGACGTTAGTGAAGTGAACAGACAATAGAAAGAAGTTGACGTGAAATGAGAAGCAAACAAGAATTATAAAAAGGATGACAGAACTAAAGGTTAAAACGCATTTCCATTTTGTTGTCTACAGGTTAGCCATGTACCTGAGTCCTCCCACCGACAGGTGACCATAAGAACTACTGGCGGTTGAGCCTGAACGTGAGTTGTTGATATACGCCACCAGGGAGTTTGGTGAAGTCCTTATCATAGTATGAAGATCAATGGTGGCGTTGGACAGAGGAGAGATGGACAGAGCCCGCTTCCTGCTGATCCGGGGTGTGAGTCTGGGACTGGAAAATCGGGAAACTGTGGACACAGGTAGGTGGAACAACAGTTATTTGACCTGAGTTCTTGAGACACTGTCCTGAGAAGAAATTGTGGTACAACTACAACCAGGGAACTAAGCCACATCACACAGGCGCATTACTCTACTCAGATGCCTCGTGTAGTTTTTAAGTAGCCTAGCAAGCAATTCTATATGTGTGAATATATAGTCTGGCCACGGCCAATCGACACCTCTCCGTCGTAGGGCTGTCTCCACATGCTATTGGATAACAAACAACATGACATACTCGCCCCTACGGATGTCCGTTAATGATGCGGTCCGCCATACTGCATTGAAGAAGATGCAAGTACATTCTTTTTCTAGATAAACTTAAGTACCTCTATCTGCACTTGACTGAAAGAAAAGTCCAAGTCAAAACAGTCCAAAGTTGATGCCAAAGCTGTTTCAAACAAGTCGTCGCTATCTTTGTTTATTCAGTAGCATGTCGCCCACCAAGAGAGAGCTGTGATTTGCCAACAAAAACCAATAGAGCGCTATGACTGGATCTCTACGGAGCCATCGCCCTCTTAGTTTCACTCAGTCGCACTAACGTCCCGCCAACCTGACTGCTGAGATTGGACCACTACAGATGTCAGCCAACAGGACAGTCCGCCATTACATCACATAAGAAGCAGGGAAGGCAAATATACGTAGTTTTTCTAAATAAACTTGCTGGGATTGGCCAGCCACAGTACTGGCTGGGGCTGTGTAGAGCATTGCTAGACCAACATGCAAAACAGTCATTTTGCTTTGGCAAATGAGGGTCTAGATTCTAGGCTATGTTCAGGATAATAGGTTACATGACTAAAACCGAATTATTCGTCGGCCTGCATAAAAGAGAAACCGAATAACATTCCTTTACAAATATTTTCTCCTGGATTTCAGTTTTTTTTGTCTCCATCGTTGCTTTTATGGAGGTGCTGTATGTTTGTGAGCAGTTCCTCTGATTCCTTTAGCTTTCAGGTTCTGTGTAACACTAGTTGTGATGGTCGAAAGACCAGAAGTACCCAAAGTCCATCTGATCAGGACCACTTAGCCTTTACATCAGTGATGTCCTGCTTTTGTCTGATCCTAGAATATGGTTCTAGCTCAGAGGTGCCCAATCCTGGTCCTGGAGGGCCGGTATCCAGCAGATTTTGTGGTTTTTCTGCTCCAACACACTTGATTAACTGGTTGAATCACCTGTGCAGCATTTCATCAGGCTCTGCAGAAGCATGTTAATCACCTGCGGACTGAAATCAGGTGTGTTGAAGGAGAGTTAAAACTAAAACAAGCTGGATACCGACCCTCGAGGACCAGGATTGGGCACCCCTGTTCTAACTCACTGGTCAGTGGTCACACTAATACCAGTTAGACCAGACAAACCCTTTCAGTAGGGTTTCGGTTGGTACTGTTTTAGTTTTCATGCGTCATGTCCCACATCAGACTCAGACCTGCTCCATGAGTCCAGAACCAGTGTGAGAGCTGCTGGGCTCTGACATAATTAACATTCAGACATAACTAATCAATCTTCACACAATAATTCCCTCTAATCACCAAAGATAAACATCTCAGAGTCCAGTTTGTACGTCATCGTGTTAAATGAGGCCAATTTACTAAGAATTGATTTGTGCTGCAGCAGCAGATGTCTGCAGAGCAATGTGATCGATTTCAGCTCTGAAATGGAAATTCAGACAAAACACGGATTCTCTAACAGATACCACTTAGTCCTCCTCAAACGCCGTGACTTTCAGGTCACTTTGAAACTTGGTGCTTCTGATCTCAGACTTTAGTTCTTCTGTGTTTCTTGGAAAGTTTGAGTCTTTAGGACTGGTGATGATAACAGATCAGGTTTCCAAAAATAGGATTGTAAATAAAGGTTTGACACCATCAGAAGAAATTAGAACTCGATAACTTCCTGTTGGAGGTGGTTGGATGAAGTCCACCTGGTGCAGCTGACGCTTCCAGTCCCTGAGTTTGATTTCCCCGACCCATCTCGTCTGCTCTGTTTGCTTTAAACGTTGTGCCTAATGACAGCAGCACTGAAGGGGTTTCTAAGTCTGTCCCACGTTACAAATGTCCAACATATGTTACCTGTTAAGGGGGGGGGATCTTCATCCTGGGACGTTTAAATGATGATGTCACAAATCTGCAGATGAGAAAAACATCAACGCTGCTTCCTCCAGGGAAGTCTGAGCGCTGGAGGTTTATTACTGAAGACATTAGCGTGTTTGTGGGAGGGTGTCATGGGACGCTAATTTGGACGTTTAATCAGCTGCAGCTCAGGCGGCTGCTGACGGTGGGGGCAGGTACGGACCATCAGGTTAGTTTTTTTTTGTCTTGTTGGTGACGGCGGCGTCCCGGACGGCGGTGTTCAGCGCCGGCAGCAGAATTCATCTCTGTTACTTCCTCTCACCTCTGGGGAGATGTGTTTATTAATGTGCCACTTCCACTGATAAATGGACCAATGGAAAAGCCCGGCTCTACTTCCTCGCCTCCCGCCGTCCCCCCCTTCCACTCCTCCATTGTGATTTATGTCAGCAGCCACCACTGGGGGAAGGTGGGGGGTTTGGGGGGGGGACGCAGACTGGAGCTGAAACACAGTTTAAGTCCATCCTTAAGGAGCTCATCCAGGCTTTATTTAACTAACTCTTATTTTATCTGATGGGTCAGAAGTCTCTACAGGTGTCTTAAGTTTTAAGCGGTTGAAAAAAAAATATCATTGAAATCACAAAGCTTAAATTTAAAAATGCAAGAGAAACAAATTTATTATGGAGTTTTATAAAAAGCTAATCCAGATTATTTCATTAGAATTAAAGGTTCAAAGTCAGACCAGAGGAGTTATTCAGATAAACAATGAAACCCGAGGAGAACACAGAAAAGCTGCTGCTTTGAAACTTTAAAACCTGACCGATGATGGCCACCCACTGGAGCATGGACCAACATAGTTTCAAGCAATCCTCTGAATGACTTCCCCGTGATGTTTCGTTGAGGTAGAGCCAAGCCACGGTCCGTCTGTTTTGATCCGAGCGCCTGCACAGCATCCGAGAGAAGTGGGAACGAAGTCCTGACAGGTTTTGGAGAAACGGGCTGCAGTCACTCCCACTCAGCAGCATCAAAACTAAACACGACCAGCTCATTCACAGCCTCGACAAGCTCTGCCTCACATGACCTCGTCTCTGTCCAAACACAACTTGGGAATCGTCATGACCAAGCGGAAACGGTGATCTGATCCTCATCACCTGATTCTCCTCTCTTCTATCAGCCCCTTTGAGACGTCTCAATCCTTTAAAGGTGGTCAGCTCCCAGAACCTGCTGCTGACACCAGACCCGTACCTGACTCTTACCAGGGCTGTACCCAAGTTATTCATCAGTCTAAGAGCAGCGTTTAAAAAAGTCAATGTTTAGTTTGGACCAAACACGAAGGGTTCTTTACTCTACAGAACATATTGCGTTCCAGCTGTTGCTTACCATCGATGGGACAGATGTAGTCAGACAGGTGGGCTCCAGCGGCGGCCCCGGCCCCCTGCAGGAGCAACTCGCTGTAGGGGCTCCGGTGGCCAGCCATCAGGTGGTAATACTCAGCTGGACTGGCCCCTGGGGGAGGAGGAGGGAGTCCAAACAGACCGCGGTCCTTCAGGTGTTCATGGGCCACTGTGGGGGGCGAAGAGCAAAGGGTTTAACCCCTTAAGCCCTAAGCATATTCCTCAAAAAATGGTAAAATTAGTATTTAATGGTAAAATAGTTTAGAAAGCCTTGTAGTGCTGGGTTTGCTAATTAATTTGATGGGAATTAATACTATTTCTTCTGTAGTGTGAGGGTTGTTTTGGGCCTGTTAAGGAACTAATGTCACAGGGTCCCCCACCTGGGGGACCCTAGGCTTACGACTGGTCCTCTGACAGAGCAGAAATGGGATTTCATTGGATTCAGCTCTGGTTTAGGTTCACTGGAACACATTTCAGAACCTCGCGGAGTCGTGGCTTTAGAGTCTGGACTGATGTTTTATTTAGGAGGAGTTCTCTGAGCTTTAGACCACCTCTCCAGGAGGCTGACAGACAAACAGCTCTGATAAAACCTTCACCTCCACACAGCGTCCTGATGACGACTCTCCACTCAGAGCTGGATTACAATAACAGACGGCAGCGCCGCAGCAGGACGGTATAAATCTCCTTTTACAATCTGTCAAAGGGAATGCGGCCTTGCTTTTAAACTTAAATAAACGTCCGCGCCTGAGATCTGGCTGTGATAAAGCTGTGAGAGTGCAGACGGGATGGAGAGATTAGAAAAAGGAAAATGCAAATAGATCGTCCAGTCCTGAGACGGACGAGGTTCTGGTGACCTTAAAAATGTAACAGCAGAACAGAAAAACTTTAGCAGCATCTATAATTTACAGATAATAAGATGTTTCAGCACCTTAAAGGTTCTCCCAGCTGCTTTTGAGTATGAAATACAACCCAGCCAATCAGACACACACCCTGCCCAACAAGCACTAATGAAGCTGGCTCCTTAGAGGATTTCAGCTTAACGCCTTTAAAAAGTTATTTATGCCTCACAATGTCTGATACTTCACATCTTCTCAGCCAAAGGCAGAGAGATTTTAATAGAGAGCAGATGGTAAAAGATGCAAAAGGAACAAAAGCGTCACAAAAACACAGATTAAATTTTTTTTATATATACATATATATATATATATATATATATATATATATATATATATATATATATATATATATATATATATGTATATGTATATATGTATATAAACTATTTTTGCTGTAGAAGTTTAAAACGTATTCAAAGCTGATTAATTCAGTTAGCCAACACTGCTCATCACACCCACATAATGAGGAAGGCAATGATTTGATGATACTTTTGAAAACACGTAATGATGATGATGATGATGATAAACATGTCTCATATCTGTGTACAGGTAAAACTAAAAAAATAAGAAGATGAAGCAAAAGTTTGCCCGTTTAAAAGGTGAAACTAATAATGAGACTCATTACATGCAAAGCCAGATACTTAATTAATTAATTAATTAATTAATTAATTTGTTGTATTGATTACGGCTTAAGGCGAATGAAAACTCCACATTCAAAATCTCAGACAGAATATCGTGAAAAGGTTCAACATTCTGGACTCAAAGTGTCACACTCTAATCAGCTAATGAATCCAAAACACCTGCAAAGGGTTCTCGAGTCTTTAGAGGGTCTCTCAGTCTAAGACGGATTACTGAGCTTTTGCACCATGTTCTAGTTTTTTGAGTTTCACCTGTAGAAGCCAGTTTGCGATGCATCAAAGTTCATGCAGTGAGCACCAGTGAGCACCAGTGTGCTGGAACTGTCTTATCACTGCTCATATTATGAGTATTTTTAAATGTATATATAAGTCATATAAATCAGTGAGGCTCTACATCTACTGTGTTATATTTAGTATTATTCATTAAATTCTGTGTAAACATTTGAGGTCGCTGATTAACAGTTGCAACTCAGCGTTGAGATGGTTTAAATAAATGTCAAAAGCGGTAAAAAATATATTTGACTCAAGGACTGCTGTGTGAACCCTGCCGTGGTAAAAAGCTGACGTTTTTCATGAGTTTGGAAAAAGGAAGACGATAGTGGGTGACATACAGATATGTGTGAGGCTGGTGGAGTTACATTCTGCTGGGTTGAGTCCTCGGCCTGCCGGGATCATGGACAGGGCAGGGCTTCCGTGTATTGAGCGCAGATACTGCTCCATGTGGGGGGAGACGTAGGGGTGAGGCGGGCTGAACGGAGATTCACCCGTCGCCACGGCAGCAGGAGAGAGACGGATCAGGGAGATATCAGAGATGATGGGACTGCTCGTCAGACCTGCTGGACTGGAGAGGAAAATTTTAAGTATTTGTTTTTGTTTTTGGCTTCTTCTCATGTTGGCTTGGTTCTAATAGATTAAGTTACTCTACCAGTGAATCACTGGTCCATCAGTTAACCAGTAGTCCACCAGTAAGCTTATTATCTGACCAGTAAACTTGTCGGCCACCAGTAAACCACCCATCCACCCATTTTCCATACCCGCTTGTCCATGCAGTGTCGCGGGGGGCTGGTGCCTATCTCCAGCAGTGTCTGGGCAAACAGGCGGGGTTCACTCTGGACAGGTTGCCAGTCCATCTCAAACCAGTAAACCAGTGATCCCCCCAATAAACCCGTCAGCCACCAATAAACCAGTGTTCCACCAGTAAACAAGGATCTGTTTGGTTCTGGTTTTGGTTTGAAGCTGAAGCTGAAAAATGAAACGAATATGACATCAGCCTAATGACATCATGATGTTCCCTCACAGCAGTTCATGAGTTCAGCGTGTGATGGTGAGACTCAGCCTAAGTGGGGCAAGATCTGATCTCAGATCAGAGTTTCAGAAACCAACAATCAGGATCACAACTTCAACAATAGAAATATGCTGCATTTGCATACGTCTGCGTGTGTGCATGTCTGCTCTGTCTGCTCAAGCCCCTAGTTAGTCGTAGCAGATGGCTGCTCATCCTCAGCCAGGTTCTGTCAGAGGTTTCTTCCTGTTGAATGGGAGCTTTCCTCTCCACTGTTGCTACATGCTTTCATGGGGATTGCTGTAAGGTCTGTGACACAACAAGTCAGTGACGTGATGCAATCTGCTGACTTCTACAAGAAACTGAACTAATTGGAATGTTTACTTTGTGATGTGCCTTCAGACAACTCTTGACATGATTTGGCACTATGTAAATAAACTGAACTGAAATAAAGATATGAGGTTGAGTCTGTCTAACCCCCAGTCAGGCCCTCCTGAGTCCTCTAGTCATCTGGCAAAAAGTTAACACACGAGTTTGCTACCAAATGGTTTATGGTTAACACGGTGTTTCAGGAACAGGAGCTTCCTGAGTTGAAGTTACCTCAGATCACCTGCAGCTTGTTGGACTGCTCGTCCACACAGACATCCTTCCAACCTGGACCTAGTCAGACCTTCTCAAATCCTGGTGTTCTCTATGTCCGCAGCTTTGAGTTTGTGTAGCTTTCCCTGTATTAATTTATCTGTGTGTGTGTGTGTGTGTGTGTGTGTGTGTGTGTGTGTGTGTGTGTGTGTGTGTGTGTGTGTGTGTGTGTGTGTGTGTGTGTGTGTGTGTGTGTGTGTGTGTGTGTGTGTGTGTGTGTGTGTGTGTGTGTGTGTGTGTGTGTGTGTTTGCTTAGCTGTCCGTGTATTAACCCATCTGTATGTGCATGCGTGCATGTGCGCATGCACACCAGTAGCTGACACCAGAGATGAATTACAGCGTGACAGTGACTCCCGTCTGTGGTGTCGAGCTCGGGGAGAGCTCTGATTTAGATAAATCACTCTTCTGATGCGCAGCTGAATAAACTCCCTCTGTAGGTTTATGGGTCTGCTGCGTGAAGCGGATCCCTCAGACGTTAACAGGAAACCCCGAACGCATTCCTCCTCCTGCACTCACACAGATGACCCAGATACAAACACAACGCAAAGCAGCAAATCATGTCCTCCTCTGGAAAAAAAAGGATTTTCATTCTCATGAATCTTTTCACACTGATGCAAAATAACACGTTTTACTGTAACAAAATTTATCGCCAGTTCTGATTTCAGTTGCACAGACGGTAACATTGTTGGCTACGAGGACGACGGAGTTTGTCACATCCAGTTTAGTCCAGATTAAAAAGACATTCAAAACAAGTTATTTTATGGTTTAGAACCCCATCAGTCTGCACATGAAGTTCATTTTTTTTTTACTTTAATTCTACAACTGTGGTGATGGTTTCTCCAACCTGTAAATGAATGCATTTATGATCCTGAACACCAAGGGGTGACAAGTGTTGCAACATGCAGGGCATATTTCTGAATGCAATACCAAAACATAGATTGAGACAAACAAAATATCTCAGAATGTTCTCTGGTGTTGTAACTTTCTTCTTGTGAGTCTCAGGTATTTGATTTCATGTAGATGGAATTGTTCTCTCAACATCAATGTACCACTGTGGACCTCTGGAACTCACCCAGTAATTGTCTGGATTCCACCTGGAACACATAGGAACCTAATTTGTATTCCATCTGGAACACACCTGAAACTAATCTGGATAGCACCTGGAACACACCTGATACTAGTCTGGATACCACCTGGAACACACCTGATACTAGTCTGGATATCACCTGGAACACACCTGATACTAGCCTGGATACCAGCAGGAACACACCTGATACTAGCCTGGATACCACCTGGAACACACCTGATACTAGTCTGGATACCCCTGGAACACACCTGATACTAGTCTGGATACCACCTGGAACACATAGGAACCTAATTTGTATTCCATCTGGAACACACCTGAAACTAATCTGGATAGCACCTGGAACACACCTGATACTAGTCTGGATACCACCTGGAACACACCTGATACTAGTCTGGATATCACCTGGAACACACCTGATACTAGCCTGGATACCAGCAGGAACACACCTGATACTAGCCTGGATACCACCTGGAACACACCTGATACTAGTCTGGATACCCCCGGAACACACCTGATACTAGTCTGGATACCACCTGGAACACACCTGATACTAGTCTGGATACCACCTGGAACACACCTGATACTAGTCTGGATATCACCTGGAACACACCTGATACTAGCCTGGATACCAGCAGGAACACACCTGATACTAGCCTGGATACCAGCAGGAACACATAGGAAACTAATTTGTATTCCATCTGGAACACACCTGAAACTAATCTGGATAGCACCTGGAACACACCTGATACTAGTCTGGATACCACCTGGAACACACCTGATACTAGCCTGGATACCAGCAGGAACACACCTGATACTAGCCTGGATACCACCTGGAACACACCTGATACTAGTCTGGATACCCCCGGAACACACCTGATACTAGTCTGGATACCACCTGGAACACACCTGATACTAGTCTGGATATCACCTGGAACACACCTGATACTAGCCTGGATACCAGCAGGAACACACCTGATACTAGCCTGGATACCAGCAGGAACACATAGGAAACTAATTTGTATTCTATCTGGAACACACCTCAAACTAATCTGGATTCCACCTGGAACACACCTGAAGCTAATCTGGATACCACCTGGAACACACCTGATACTAGTCTGAATTCCACCTGGAACCATCTGAAACCAATTTGGAATCCACCAGGAACGAATTCACACTGCACATGATTAACATTGTTTAAACAACCCTTTGCTGTTGGTGAAAATCTCACATATTTAACTGATAAGGATGGGTTCCGTTCAGTAGCGTTTTGTTGCAGAGGAACAGAGGCAGCTTCGCGACCACGAGTGTGATGAGATGTCACGGAGCTGCGGAGTAAACAGAGAGACAGAATTCACAGCAAAACTTCAGAAATTGAAGCGATCTGTGACAGACTGTTACTTCTCTGGTTTATTGTATTTTTATGTATAAAGGAGGATGAGACGGATGAAGGTCCAGCAGACAGCTCAGTTGGAAGACTGGAAAAGGAGACCCGCAGCCAGTGCCTGACACCAAAGCAAGAGCAAGGGCTTTGAAAACGACCCTTCCTCTTTGAGGAAAACGAGCTGGGTCATGAGCTGACTCTAACAAGAAGTGTTAACGGCAGCGCTGTTTTCTCAGCTTTGTTTTGGTTAGCGGTTAGCTTAGTGACATACGCTTTTGAGAGGTGCGCTCATGACATAGTGTGTCCTGCCGGAGCGAGACGGCATGCAGTCCGACTTGCAGAAATCTTACGTCGTACAATGTTCCACCTTTCTGGAGTTTTCAATGCGTGACGTGAACAATATTGTGCAACAGCCAAATATCACACAGTGTGATCCCGGCATTATGGACATGTTGTGTAGACTTTTATTTTGACAGATGTCCAGCAGCATAAATTATGGATTTTGATGCCCATTCTGATTGGTTGGTGAAATGCTACAGTAACCCCCACTAAAGCGTTTTTGTAGCCCAAGCCCAAATGTCCCGCAGCTTGCCTGACCCTGCTCCACCTGGAGCACACCTGAACTAATCTGAAGCACATCTGAAACCAGTCTGAAGTCCACCTGGAACACATTTAGATGAGTTTTTGTTGTTTCCTGGAGACTGTGAGTTAAACCATAGAAGAAGAAGAAGCAGGCCCCCTCCCCTGACAATTGTCTCGTTACGGTCTCTGTGAACCATGATGAAGGGTTGTGTGTCTTGTCGGACCATCAGAGAGCTGGTCCGTGATGCGACGCCTCCAGCGGATAACGAAGTGCTGCAGCAGGACTCAAACAGCGCTGCTCTTAATTTGCTGTTCAGTTCCTGTAATTAGGTGAATTTGGCTCAGGCAGGGGGACCGACAGCCAGATCAAGGCCTTGATGAATTAGGGGTCCACTGTCAAGATCAAATCACATTAATCAAGGCGGCCGAGTCGGTGGACAGCCCTACCCCACGCCCCCCACTTCCTGGGTCTGTGTGATGAATAGCTCTGCTTGTGCTGGGCGTGAAGAATGCATCACCATCAGGTCGCAGATTCTCAAAGTACCAGAAACATTGTTTCTGACTTCTGGTTCTGGATACAGTTTTTCTACTGAGAGGAGTTTGGACCCAAAGCAGGATTCTTGATCTGCCCCCTGCTCCAGGCTCAGCAGACCCTCACACAAACACGTCTCTGAACCAGTGATGTTCTAAATAAAAGCCTAGCTACGTGTAGAACCCTTTTATTTTGTAGGTTTAATTAATGAATCTCTTTCTGACTCCCAACAGCCTGAGAATCAATCTTTGATCTCCAAGAGTTTAATTACAGCGTCAACGCCAGGACAGCTCTCTGATCAGCTCTACAAGAATATATAAACAAGTTCTGGTGATGGACCTGATCCATCGGTCTGAATCAGAACCAGTTTGGCCCTGCATGGTTCTAAATCCTACCTGATGGGTCTGATAGGAACTGGTAAACAAGAACTGGGTTGATCTTCAAAGGTCATCTGTAAAATACCAGAAACTGATTCTAAGTTTCTGATTACTAAGAGTCCAAACATCTGAGCAGAAAGGTCCAACCGGAGCCCTTCAGAACCCCCCAGAGACCTCACATTAGGGACACCAGAGACCTATTGACCAGCTCTTTGGGAGTCAGCATTTCGTGTGTGTGGTTCTGATCCTGGTAGACCTTCAGGTCCAATCGGAATCAGCTGATGTCTTCGAGTCAAACGAACACCAGCTTTGTGCTCCATCAGAACCAGACCCATTACCTGTGCATGGCGTGCAGGGCATGGGGCTCATAGTGGTACTGGCCCTCGTGGTGCCGGATATCGACTGGGATTGGAGCGTGGAAGGTCGGGAAAACATTTTGGGGACCTGCGGAGATACAGAACCACAGAAAAAGAAAGAGAGAGATTTTGTATCAACAAGTAATTCTACTTAGACCATTTACAGACCATTTAAAGTGAGGGTCAAGGCATGAGCAGAGATTTATTTCATCTACACTTCCTGTTAGGAAAATGCTTTTGAAGGAGGCGTCGCCTGGCGGACCGAGAGAGCGGCACTGAGGCGGTGATAGACCGCACCCCACTCCAACCTCCCCATGTGTGCTGTTGGAGTTGCTCAATCAAAAAATGAGTTGTGAACGAGCGCGTGCGCACACAAGACTTACCGCTCAGGAGAAAAGCAAACACCGATTTTGCAGCATTCTGCCAGATTTCCTGTCAAACGCGATCATTAGATGAAAACGGGAGGAGGGAATTTTTTCAAGGAGGCAACTGGCTCAGAGCGCCAACGTGTCATATCGGCAGGTGAGTGGCTGAGCCAGGTGGAGGTGCCTAAACTGTTGCACTAAAGTTGCATTAAACTGCCACAGTAATGATTACACATGTGTACAGCACCATTAGACACTCACCTATACAGGTTATCAGCAATAGAATAAAGTTTATTTAGGCATTACTTGCTCTTTAAAGTCTCAGTTCAGACAGTAATGTTGGTAGGGGTTGTGTGTGTGTGTGTGTGTGTGTGTGTGTGTGTGTGTGTGTGTGTGTGTGTGTGTGTGTGTGTGTGTGTGTGTGTGTGTGTGTGTGTGTGTGTGTGTGTGTGTGTGTGTGTGTGTGTGTGTGTGTGTGTGTGTGTGTGTGTGTGTGTGTGTGTGTGTGTGTGTGTGTGTGTGTGTGTGTGTGTGTGTGTGTGTGTGTGTGTGTGTGTGTGTGTGTGTGTGTGTGTGTGTGTGTGTGTGTGTGTGTGTGTGTGTGTGTGTGTGTGTGTGTGTGTGTGTGTGTGTGTGTGTGTGTGTGAAGGAGAAGAAGCAGAAGAAAATATTTCTATAGCGCCTCTCAAGATAAAAATCATGAGGTACTTCACAAAAACAAAAAAATGTAAAAATATACAAAAGCATTTGGAAATGTTTAAAAATATATTTAAAATGAGCAAAAATAGACAATTGTGATTAAAAAATGTTAAGAAAGCAAGAGAGTGAATAGGAAAGAGGGAAATCAGTGGATCCTGAGGAAGGTGGAATAGGTGGGGAGAGCAGAATAAAGAGAGTGGTGAAGAAGGTCATACAAAAGCCAGCTTGAACAAGTGAGTCTTCAGCTGCTTTTTGAAGGAGACCACTGAGTCCACTGATCTCAGGCTCAGGGGGAGAGAGTTCCAGAGTCTGGGGGACACAGCAGCAAATGATCTGTCACCTTTGGTCTTTAGCCTGGTGCTGCACAACCAGTAGGCTTTGATCACTGGACCTCAGGGACCTGCTGGGGGTGTAGGGACTAAGAAGATCACCAATGTAAGATGGTGCTTGTCCATGTAAGGCCCAATAGACCAGAACCAGGATCTGTAAATGAACCCTGAGGTTGACTGGCAGCCAGTGAAGCTGGAGGAGAAGCGGGGTGATGTGGGTGTGTTTGGAGGACTTGGTCAGAAGCCGAGCACAGGCATTCTGAACCACCTGTAGACGGTTCAGGGAGGTTCTGCTCAGACACGTGAAAAGAGAGTTACAGTAGTCTAAGCGTGAGGAGATGAAGGTGTGGAGAACTGTCTCAAGTTCAGAGCGGGACAGAATGGGACTCAGCTTAGCAATGTTCCTGAGATGGAAGAAGGAAGAGCGAACAAGAGAACTGACATGAGAGTGTGTGAGGGAAAATCTGGCTTAATTTGCATTTTACCATATCTGACAAGCATTTTATCCAGGTGTCCTACAGGACTAATTAATTGACCAACATTCAAAATTCAAAACATTATTCTCATTTTCCATGTTGATGAACAAAATCACGTTTCATGCTGACTCCTCGTGAGTATAAAGTGACAAAAACACTAAAGTTAAACAATGTATAAAGTAAAAACAGCAGTTATGTTCTTTCTGTGTTTCTCCTCTATTTCCATAGTTGATCTGTTCTTATCTTGCAGACAAAGTAGCAAAGTTTCTGTTTTTTGCCTTGCTTGCTGACAGTTTGAGTGTCGCACAGTTGCCTTCATCAGATATCGCCGATGTTGATAAACAGCGGAAGCGACACCATCAACAACGGCGAAGCTTTGATGATGGCGACTGTGCGACGCCACAACTAACATGCTAACATGCTTTTTGAGGGATGGCTTGTTGTTTTTGATTTAAAGAAATCAAATTGGACATCTTCTAATTATCAATGAAAACAGATCCAAATGAAATATTCGTGATGTATCGAGATATCCAATCGCATCCTTGACCCAATAATCGTAATCAAATCATGAGACTAGTTCACACCTGAAATTGCCAGTGGAGCTGCATCGATCTGAGCTAACTTGGATTCTCACAAAACGAAAACGCTGGAGGTGTGGTCGCACATGTGGAGTGCACTTGGGAAAGCTAGTGCAGACTAGAGCCTGGATGTGGCGGGTTCTTGCCATCAGTGATGCTGGCTGTTTGGAGTGTTTTCCTGCTCAAGGAACGCTACCTTCTTCCTGTTTTCCTGATGTGATCGGGACATGTTCAGCTGTAGCTTCCTTATTGGTCAGCATGGTGACAGGAAGCATGGGGGGGGGGGGATAACCTGGATTGAATAAAAACCCAACCCTCCAGATGCACAGCGAGTGAAGTTAGCTCTCCATGCTAGATGGTGTCACTAAAAATACCTAAAGACTTCACACAAACTTTGCAATTGAAATCTAGTCACAGAGTGAAAACACACGTGCTCATTGACTTTTTTGTACCCTGATGCCATGCTTGTGTCTGAGATGTGAATGCGTGTGGGTGAAGCTGCGCCGCTGCTGGATCTTTGCCCGGATACCAGATTCCTCAATTCCCCCAGACTGTCTGGGAGGGGAGGTGGGGCAGCCTCCAGTATAAAAGAGAGTCATAGGTGAGAGTTAATATAACAGTAAGAGTTCATTTATCTCTTTTTGGAAAGTTGGTACTTAGTGTTAAAAAACAACTCTTCTGGAAATGACAAGTTCATACCGATGTTCGAGTTAATATAGGAACTTTAAATAATCTCTAAATCTTACTGATGTGGACCCATAATGACACATATAATATGTTGAAATCAAATCTGATAGTGTTAATTCGAGCATGCTGAATTTGCTGTGTAGGAATATCGCAAAAATCAGACACATTTCATAATTTGAAAATACAGAGATTCTTGTCCATGTTTTTGCATCATCATGTAGAGATTATCGTAACTCTGTATTGCTGAGCTTACCAAGAAAAGCTTTAGAGGGTTGAAGATGGTGCGGAGTGCAGCTGCTTGCATACTTACATAGACTGGAAGGTACGAGCACATTTCCCCAATACTAGCTTCACTCCATTGGTTACCTTGTCAAGTTCATGCAGACTTTAAAGTCTTACTGCTCACCTACAAGGCTTTAAGCAGTCTGGCCCCTGCCTACATCGCTGATCTCCTGTCCTAAGATCTCAGAGCACTGGAATATACTTGCTGTTTATCCTTGTGCTAGAGCAGGCAGCAGGCTGCATCTTTGTTCACATACTTGCAGCTACACGGTACTGTGCTTCCTGTAGTACTGGGGTGTTCCACTAGGGGGTGCACTAGAGAACTCAGACTGGGTAGAGAGCTGGGTTTGTGGATACAAACAAAACAAACAGAGAGAGACACAAGCCTCTTTATGAGACAGACCATCGCGTCATTACAGAGTGATAAATCCGAATTTGTGGGTCTCGTAAACGCGGCAAGGAGCAAAGGGGAAAGATGACAAAACTCGATTCGGATGCGCTTAGCCTCGTAGTAATGTTGCCGCACGAGCCCCTCGCCTCTGACGGCTAAACATGTGTCAGCCCAGCTAATCCCATTGGAGCGACTGTGGGAGGTCCCCCCCGCAAAATAGGATGGTCGCGTTAGTGACGTATACTGCGCGCCAAGTGCCGGCCGGAAGGGATATAAACGCAGATAAACATGGCCTCTCACTAGTATCTTTCAACCACCTACAACATGGCAAACTGGACGGACGCGGCGACCATGGAGCTTTTGGCCGTGTGAGCGGACGAACAGATTAGTCGCCTTTTTACGAGGACGGTGAGAGGCAGCCAGCTGTTCGACAGAGTGGTGAAAACACTGGCTGAGCGGGGCGTCAAGCGGGACAAAAAGCAGGTCACATCAAAGCTAAAGGTCCTGAAAAAGAAATTTCATCAGTCTGACGTGTCTTCCGTCTGACGCTGAATGTGTGATCCTGTACATCACATGGGGGGGGGGGGGGGGGTCCGCCCAGCGACCTCCCTATATCCCGTCTTGGTTTGAGAGGCGCCTGATGGCAGTTTGTTCTAGCTTCAGCTTTGCTACTGTAAATGCCAAAATCCTCTCCAGGGAGCCGCGGCAAATCCTGTTTTGCAAACGCTATGGTCCTGTAAAAACAGCTACAGAAAAAGACAGCTTTAGTCAGAGGCATTGCTTTTTTCACAGTATTCAGCATGATAGTGAATTGCGTATGCGGGAAGCTCCAGCTAGCTAATTTTATCCACCAATCGAAGGGTCCCCCTAAAAGTAGGCGTGAATTTTAGCTGGCCAATCAGTCGGCAGTGGGTGTGTTGGACCATTTCACCCTGAAGCAGACAACCTTGGGAAGAGGATTGAAAAAGTTGGGAAGAGGATTGAAAAAGTTCCTGGTCATTAACAGCTGTTCACAAGCTGTGGTGTTTGTGTGTCAGAAAATGCTGACAGCCATAGGGGTGGGAGCTGGAAAAGGTGGGGGTATCGGGCAATTCACATGCCATTTGTTATAATTAGCATTTTAATTGTGCAACAGACTGATGTTCTGCCAAAAAGTGCAGCAAACTCTCTTACTTCGCTCTGTTTCTGATGAAGTGGCTTCTTTGCTGCCCTTCTTGACACCAGACCATCCTCCATCCAAGAGACTTCTCCTCACTGTGCCACAGCTGCATCCACACCTGT